GCTATGCCTACTGAAATAAAGTGGAACAATGTTGGAATCTATGATCACAACAAAAGAAACGTAAACAAATTTGAGAGGATAAGGTGTTCCCTTCACGGAAGGAACCTCAGGTTAATGTCCTTTCCCTCACACTTTTCTCATATTATAGTCTCTGCTACTTAACACCTGTGAGCTTTGCTGCTTAGTGCACAACACTTTGTCACCTCCACCACTAATCACTAATCAAAGAAAAAGCATAAATACATACATATATATATAAATGAGATGAGTGGCTTAATAAGTGATATACGTACGTATATGGACAAATGCAGGAAGCATACTGGTGGACGGACAATAGAAAATAGAAAGGACATGATTCTGTGGCCACGTGTTTCTGTCATCAACCAGGTTCAAAGGATTTTTGGGATTAAATATATAGCAGCACTACGCTTCCCACTTCCACAATATCTATTTGAGATCTTCATAGAATATTTAGAGATTAAAAGTGCATTAATTGTCATTACCTGAACCATATACTACATATTTTATGCCGCTAGCTAGCCAGTATTATTGCCGGCCGTGGCGTTTTGATGCACTAAACTTCATAAAATGGAGCTACTTTAAGTTGTATAATTCATGTCAATATGGTTTAAGGTCATTCTTGTTCGGAAAGTGCTTGTGAAGGAAATATAGATATCCGAAAGCTTCTTTTGATGACTCAATATATATCACTCTAGAAATGTTAAAAGAGGAGAGTATTGTTGTCCTAGCTATTAAAAGACTAATTTAAACTATTTAAAAACTAAAGTTAACCATTAATATTTTTAACATCTAGGTTGATATAACTCTTCCTTTTTAACATTTTCAACACTATTGGGTTAAAAAAACTTCCAGATATCAATAGTTTTTTATGAATACTAATTAACACAAACCAATACATACAGTGACTGAGAAATCTGTGTCGTTTTAATCAAAGTCTTGGAGACCAAAGCCGCCATCATCATCATCATGCTAAATAAGCATGATATGTACCTGGTGGAGGTTGTTTGACCACAAATTAAATTACTAAAATAGTGCAGAACCGCAATATGCATCAGTACAGAGCTAAATTTGTGGATTATTAATTAACCACTGAAGAGTGAAGGATATAACATGTGTGTTGGCCAATCAGTAACTTGGTTATATGTGACGGAGTGTGAAAAGCAATAACATGATCTCAGGATTGAATATATACGAAGTCATAATAATAAGCAAAGAAATTAAATCATTTGACGAAGAAGGGGCGTGTCGGCATCGATTCAGAGCACTGTCCCTAGCTAGCTAGCTAGTGCCCTCTATACTTTAATTTCAATATCCCACATTATATGAAATCATTTTGATGGACTTTATTTCCACTTCCATCTGCTCTGCTAAAAGCTGGCAGAATCCAAATCTAGAAGCAGTGAATGATTGGCTATACTTTTCTTGGCCAAAACTAAAAGGAGTGATTGGCTTTACTTGCATATTGTTTCAATCACAATATCACAGACGGTAAGCAGACCGTAGAAACTGGCTATATATATATATATATATATATATATATCCTCTTTTCCCAATTAGGCTGCTTGGTTGGGATGAGAGTGAGATGTATGGCTTTCCTTTGCACTGGGAAACCACATTCCGTGATACGGGAGAATGAGGATTCCATCTCAAAAGCGAAGGAAACACCAAATAAGTATGCAATGGAATTAGTTAAACATGAACTGAAAAAAGATGCCGTGTAGGAGTTTGAGAGACTATAGCAGAGAACTAATGTCTCTAATTTCCATCTGCATATTGGAAAAAAGGGAGACAAAAAATGATGATTGATGAATGGAGCCATAAATAAACACAAGAGCTGATTGAATGGGAAGTTTAAATCCTTTGACACAACTGTCACTGAATTAATTAAAATAACATAGAGATCATTAAATTTAACATAATATTGTGGGTATATATGCAAAAAAGATACTGGTTACTGGTTATTTTAGATAATAAACATAAAATATAAGGACAGGACAAAGGGAAACAATCATTCCTTGACAGGTCACAGTTACACTCATCATCATCATCTCATAATCAATTATCACTTCACAACAAGTAGCTATTTATTTTTTAGTGTTATTTATGGTCCCACATAACTCTTTAATCTAACTCTCACGCCACACAATTAATTCTCCAATTACAGTGGAATCTTGTGACTTAAGACGACAGAGGCCGAGGAAATAATTAAGCAGAGAAAGGTGAAAATACAGTAACACATATGTGTATGTAATATTATATGAATAAAATAAGAATGTGGAGAGTGAGTAGATGATCAGTATAGGAGTGGTGGGTGGGATCGGAAGAGCACAGATGAATGCTTCCTTTAGACAAGACACAAATTGAAGTATGGGCTAATGAATTGCTTGCTGACGACAATATATATATATGTGTGTATATGTAGTATATATATATATATATATATAATATTACTGGGGAATCCAGGGCCCTTTATAGTGCACTCCTCTCTCAATAAATTGACCTCCAACCCTACACATTTTCTCCTATGATTTTCTCACCACTTCGTTTTCTTTCTATCTCTAGATTTGCATTCAATTCCGGCCTCTTATCTTCACCGGATGGTTTTAATGTGGAATGTTTTCATACGAATCCAGAACAAGGATGAGAATGAGAATGCTAACTGTTTGATTAATTGAAACAAGTATATTTGTCATGATCTTACAACCTAGTGACATGAAAGCTCTTTATACAAATGAGAAGTCGTGGGTTGAATCCCACTTAGAATTTCATATTCTTAGCGCTGGCTTTTTTTAATTCAAGAAAAGGAAATAAATATATTTGGCGTGTCTCATAGAAAGCGACATGCATGTGTGTGTTTTATTATTTGATCATCAAATGACTATGATGTCCATAATTTACAAAAATATTGTATTTCATTCTCTTGAAGTGATAAAAAAATCTGAAATTATAATGATAAATGATATGGACTTGGGGGAATAAGAGGGAAGCAATGACATATACTCCATATAACAAACAAACAACAAACCAGCAGTAGTTGAAAGCGATTTTCTGGTTGAAAGGAACTCAACATATATCTCCAATATTTTGTAGCTACCTACTTTATTTTTCCATCATGTAAAATAAAAATATCCCAAAAAAATAATTATCAACTTGGGAAAAATATTCATATTCATATTTTCTTACTAAAGCGCAATAAATCATTTGCCAATATATATTATTTTAATACGCGGCTACTGTGTAAGTTTTGTGCTGCATCAAATAATGAACACAAAATGATGGAATCTCAATCTTTAATATAATGGACCACCAGTACTAATGACTCAGAATTATAAGCAAATCCAACTCCTGACTTCTCACTTGTAGTAAATCATTCACTGCTACAAAAAGTTCATTTTCGTCTCCTATTTTCATCTGAAAGTGAAAATAAAGGGGAAAAAAGGCCTTATACTCGTCTGTTGGGCTATAACAGTTGAGTATGGGCCCAGATACTCGTTTGGTCCAGTTATAACAGTTAGCATATTCATTTGTTCATAACAGACGAATATTCATTTTCTATCTATGTCTCTTTTGTCCACGCCCCCCTTTAAACGGATGAAAAAGGGCCTTCAGAACAAACAAAAATGGACCTTTTTTAAGTAGTGATTTCATGCCACTAACTTACAGTTTTTTTTTTTTTTTTGCTCTAATCCCTCGATTTTGTCAAGAGATTTCACCCAACCCGCCTGCACTAGGTGTCCGCATATGTCATGATTACAAGCTACACTCTCCTGAATACCTCAAAAATTCTCACTACTCCTATATCCATTTTAGAGGTTAGAGACTGCCTCTGCTTTTGCAATACAAGTCCTGATTGAGAATCCTCAAACTTGTCTATCATGAACATTTTAACTCTCAAAGAAATAACCCTTTTGCTTGGAAGAAAGCTTGGAGGATATGATTGACCTGCCTGCCAAATATTCTCTTTCTCTTTGCTTGCAAGATTATCCCTTCAAGCAACATTCTCTCAGTTCATCATCTCAATGATAATTCTCTCTGTATGGGATTCTTTGGCTGTCAGGAAGAAGGGTTCTTGGAACATGTCTTTGTTGATTGTTCTAATTCCAGAGCCATGTGGTTTGGAGTGGCCTCTATCAGATCTTTGGGAATAATTTCATGGCTCACTGAGACCATCATTTGGATTCTTCTTCTGCTCCTCAATAAGTTTTTTTGTTTGATATACTATCTTCAATTCTTAATATAAGAGCTAGTTGATTAATTTGAATAGATTAAGAAAACTAGTTTAGTTAGTTATTTAAAATAAATAAGTGTTATCTTTTTAAAAATATCCATACTACTAATCAAGCATATTGGCTAGAATTACTATTCTTACAAGGACTATCTTAAAAAAATAAATAAATAAATATGATATACAAAGTGAATTGGGATCTTACATTTATGACTAAAATAAAAGTCAAATGAGTTCTTATATTAAGGACTGGATGTAGTATTATTTTCACTTTTTCCTTTATCTGAAAATCCAGGAACAACGATAAATAATACAAAAGTAAGTAATTCATTGATATTTTAACATCACAATAGTTCTAAAACAAATTCAGCACGTCAAAAGAAATGAATGATACTCGGGTTCTAGAAAAAAATTTGAAAAGTGAATTGCAGATATGGATTTAAATAGTTATAAATAGGAATCGCATATGCAAGCTGCGTTATATTCAAAATATGAATGGGCCATAAAAATACCCGAATTTGGAATTGTCAGCCGGACCAATAACATTATTGCGGGTACATATTAGCGTGGTCTAAGCAATGTTTTTATTTTTTTTATTAGATCTTATTTACTTTCAAAGGCTTGGACCTCTTATCATTAGTTACAAATTTCTTTTTGGCACAAACGAGGAAGTATATCATACAATGCCTCCAACCCCAAGCCTCCTAAAACACTCGTAAAGAATGCTCCAATAAGCGGCGAGGAAGCCTGGTCATCCAGTTGGTAGAAACATATATATAGCCAGCAAAATCGCTAGGTCCAAAAGCAGTGGAAAACTACATTTCATTTTAGGAATAAAGTGAAGAAGATTGTTTGACAGTATAAGAACTTGTTGAAACAAGAAAAAGTGTCAATGCCTATAATACATACAATTTACACGCCCTGAAAGAATCCCAGCTATGCAAAGGTGAACCATCAGAGAAAGAATTAGTCTCCACGAATCATGCATGACTGATAAGGCTCCCTCTTTATTTCCAAGACTGTCGACAAGTTCTTGTTCAGTGGCTGTTTCCAGGGTTCTCCATCCATTTGCATATACGCCTTTTCCCACTCCCCACCTATAAGTTCCAATCGGACAGCTGCTGCCTGTAAAGGTAATTATAATTTATCGCCGGGATCACACAAATTTCACTATGCCAAATGATGGTAATTAGATTTGACATGTATGGTATGGACTACATTTTAGACTCGAGTACAAGGTAGACAATGATGGGATTCTTCGCATTCAAGGGAAAAAACGCTTAGTTGCATTTACACAGAAGGAGAAAATTGTGCCTGTGAAAAGAAAGCGGATTTCACACACATTTCTATTCTTTTTATGTCGCTATATACAATATATGAAATATCACCACAAAAGAATTCAATCAGATAGACAAGGCAGCAGGCTACTAGCTCACATGGCTCAAATCTCAGTCTTCTAAGATTATGTGGGCTAAATTAAAGGTTCATAGCCTAATTGCAAGGCAAAGATTTTCTTCATCTGAGAAATGATTAAACAAAAAATGTAGATTACATTTTATTAGTCGGCAGATAAGAGAGAAAGTTCATGTTGTCAATTAAAAACAAAAAACAGAGAGCAAGCAGAACTGAAATAGTGGCCATACGTCATCGCAGACCCAGTTCAAGCCTGCACCACAATGTCGTCCATCCAGATAATCAATGATTGTTTCAAAAGTGTTCAAAGTCAAATCAACCAACTCCGATAATAATTGTAAGAGTTAATTACTAGATGCGATGCCATAATTCTAACCAGTAGTCAATAGACCATCAATACAAATGTACCCTAAGCAAAGTTTTGGACACCATAAAGCAATACGAAAGTTGGAACCCCAATCCTCATAATTCCAAGTCCAGCAATGAAACATTCCACAAATGCAACTAAAATCTACTTTGACCCGGATGATTTCGAATGTTTTCAACCTCCAATACACCAATGTAAAATCTACTTTGATTCAAGTATTTAGGATCCGTTCACCCTCCAATACACCAATGTAAAATCTACTTTGACCCAAGTATCTACAATCCGTTCACCCTCCGATACACCAAGCAGTTAGGCATTCCTAAGTCATATTTTGCATTTCAAAAGCATAAATTACCAAAAACACAACCCATAAATAGTTTCAAACTAAAACACATGGTACCTGAGCAATGTGCTTCGCGGATATAAGTTCAAACATGACAAATGATGCATGCCATCCTTGTTTTAGGCCAAATATTTCCAGAAGTCCATCATCGACATGGGCTTCAACAAAGCGTCTCTGGAATTGCCAAAAAGTGTTTTCAGTGAACCTCCTAAAAATTTGCAAGATATACTTGACCACTTCATCAAGCAAGTTCATATTCAGTAATAATCACTTTTCAGGCAAATATAGTGCATGATGTGATACCACAAAGAGGGGGGAAAAAGTATTGCTTTATGGAAATATCTCTTGGAAAAGAAAAAATTAAATCCACAGTCCAGAGACCCAAGGGGCACAAAGAGAAGATATTAATGTCTCCAAAATAATACTTGGGTATCCCAGCCACTAAAAAGATATAATTGCAGAATGAATGATTTAATAGCTTAAAATTATCAGTATAACAAGAAATATTAGACGACAAGAATATAGTACCTTTTCCAAATACTCTGGTTTTGGTTTACCCCAGGGATTTCTTCCACTTCCATAGCTATGAAGATTCAGAGCAACTATTGCTCTTACACTGAAAGGAAATAACATAATCTTATCACATAAAAGGGGACAAACCAAAAAGAATAGCACAAAATTGACTGCTGATACACTATTATTTACTGAACGATTGGGCATCTATGAACATAGAAATATAAGAACCAAACCAAGATGTCATAAATTTAGCATAAAAAAGAGAAGAGACACAAAACCCCCTGCAACCGGACTGATGTCAAAAATAATGGTTTTCAATCTAATCGAGCATTTCTTCATTACCTTTTGACAAAAATGAACTAGCAAAGAAAATAAATACCTTGAAGGAACAGTAACCTTCTTCCAGTCTGAGCAATTGGCCTCTTTGATATGCATCCGCAATATGTTGTTAAGTCCCCTAATACCAGAAAATTAATACTTAAATCATTAAGGACAAAACAGGATATTATTAAGTCAATCATCATCCTTAATTAATGGAGTAAAGAACTTGAGTTCCTCGTGAAAAAAGTTTTCATGAGATTAGTGTAGATAATCAAGTTCAAATTTATGAACTGCATAGGAGTCAAAGGCATCAAGTGAAAATGCACATAAATAGAAACGTAATCCTGACAGAGAATATAAAGGAGAGTCAGAACAAAGGAAGAAAAAGAGGATGCATCTATATGGTCAGACAAATCAAAATTCAGATAATGTGTCACACCAACACAAGGGAAAAAGGAATTCCTAAAAACTTTTCTAACCAGCAAACATGCCTTAAATTCTCTTGCAAGTATATAAACGAACAACTTCAATTTTAGCAGGAAATTTGATCTCTAATGCTACAATAAAACATCACCATTCTTCCTTTGGCCACATAGCCCAGTTCAGGAGTATGGTCTTGCAATTCTACCTTAAATCACATATCATGGAAAACACTAAAGAAACAATATCTTCAGCTTGAAATCGAGTTTACCATTTTCATAAAAACAGATATATCCATGTAAAAAGTATTAAAATTGGAAAAGTATCGAAGTTTCCAGGTTAAGAAAGGATTGAACTACTTAGAGAAAGAGTTGTCATTGAGCACTTTATAAGCTTTGTAAGCTTCCACTTGAGGCTGATTTCTAAGCAGCCTTGATATTGATAGTTTAGTAAACCATGAGGTTGTGAAAATAGCTACTCTAAGAGTTGCTAATTATTCAGTAAAATACTGTGGATTATCAAAATGGTTATTTATACTGCATCCAAAATGAAAGGGGTATGGCCGCTTGTTTGCTTATCATGTTAGTCTAAACTTGATTACAGACAGTTTATAGACAAAGTTGTTGAGCCTTTAATAGTTCTTTTGAAAAATACAAAGAAAGAAAAGAGAAACAGAAAAGAAAACTTTGCCCCTTCCTTTTCTCCTTAGGTTCGTTCTCCCTGTTAAACATTGATATCATCGTATTAAGCAACATGGCAGAGAGCAGCTGGAAGAATGTCAAGGCAGTCATTTCAAGGAAGCAGTTCAAACAATTTTATGGAGTCATTTTTTTGCCAATGTAATTACGAAGAGAAATTTTAGTTTCTTAAATTCCTAAATCAATGGTTGAATTCTTTGGAGTTGGCTAACTAGTATTTATTCCTTTTCCTAGTGGATTGTACTTGTAACATACTATATGCAAATGGGAGAGTTAAGTGGCATTAAGAATTTAAAATAGTCTCACCTTAAACTTGGACTGCTGGTGCAAGGAGTGAAAAACCAGCCCTGGGTGCAACTGTAACCAGAATATATAATCTGCAACCCAGAAAATAAGATTGGTCCGCAATCATGTATAGGAATGACTAAAATCTATAATATAGTAAAAAGGGCTCCGAATAAATGGAAGATGTTGGCCAGTTAATGCAACGACAAAGAAGCTATTATAAACAAATAGCTGTACAAACACAAAAAATGAACTAGCTTTTCATAGATTACCTGCTCATACAGGTTACCATATAATTTAGTAATCTAACCAGAGGAGCCCTACTTTGGGGGTAAGAATAATTTAGGGTACCCAGGCAAGCATTAGCCAACTGGTCTAGGTATACCTTATTAGCAATTGGACCATTTGCAAGGTATGGCTTTTCCTCACGTAGATGATGGAAACCATAAGCCACTTGGGCATCCATTCCTGTATGATAAAATGGCAAACTATGAATAATAAGACTGTTCACAAATAGAATAGCAATTTATTTCTGGCATATGAAATAGCTATCATGTCAAACCTACAAGCAAAAACAGTGCATTCATAGTTTCAAAGTTTGTTTTGTACCCAAAAAATGAAACATGGAAAAGAGCTAAAACAAAATTTCATGTAAAGGCGTTCTCATTCAAATGACGAATTGCAACACCAATGGCATCATGCAGCTTGCAAAAGCTGCCGAGCCCATGCTTGCAAAGCAGTAGACTTTAAAGCCAATTTGACCCCATTCTTGAAATTTTCTCAGGATAAATAAATACTGGGCAGACCAATCAAATGGATAATCTCTTGAATTGACAAACAGTTGGCAAGACCATGATACAAATATTGTACACATCACAGTACCTATACTGAAATAATTGTAGAACACTCCTTCGTGACATTTAGCATTCTCGGGCAGTTTTCCCTCAACTTCCAGACCCTGCACACACAGGAAACATCCTATATTGAGAGAAATTTCTTTGCTGATATAACATGTAAATGGAATTAGAATAAATTATATTTGATACTACAAAACACAATTTAGCACATAAGCACTTTATTATTAGATTGCAAACTTCAACAGTAAGTATTTTCGAATATGCCGAAATAGCAATTATCAAGATATGTATGAGGGTTGGTTTTTAATGACTTGAAAAAAGCTTATGATCATTTGCCAACATAAGTATTTTGGAAAGCTTTGGAAAAGAAAGGTTGCATATATCAAAAACCATACAAGATATGTATGAGGAGGTAACTACTAATGTACGAACGTCTAGAAGTGAGACAAAAGACTTCCCTATTAAGGTTGGCCTGCAACAGGAATCTTCTTTGAGCCCTTACTTATTTAATACTATTCTAGACATTCTAACTGAGCTTATTTAAGAAAAAATTCCAAAGTTCATGTTTTTCACGGATGACATAGTTCTCATTGTTGAGTCTAAGAGAAGAATTAACTCCAGATTAGAGTTATGGAGAAAGACCTTGGAGTCAAAAGGTTTTCACTTGAGCAGGAGCAAAATAGAATATATGCATTGCAATTTTAGAGGGAGGCAAGTCAATGGTGATTTGGAGGTGAAAATGGGAAATCAAATCATTCCTCAAGTATTAAAGTTCAAATATCTAGGATCTATTATGCATTTGGATAGTGAAATTGATGGAAATGTTTCTCATAGAATACAAGTTGGGTGGTTAAAATAGAAGAAGGCTACCGGAGTTATTTGCAATAAAAAGGTACCTGAGAAGCTCAAGGGAATTCTATCGGACTGCTATAAGACCAGCTGTGTTGTATGGTAGTAAATGTTGGGCAATAAAGGGAAAACAAGAGCATAAAATTGTGGTAGCAGAAATGAGGATATTGAAATGGTGTGTGGTCATATAAGAAAAGATTAGATTCGAAATGAAAATATCAGAGTAAGAGTAGGTGTCGCATCTATCGAAAATGAAATGGTTGAATATCACTTGAGGTGGTTTGGGCATATGCAAAAAAAGCCATTGGAGGTGTTGATGAGAAGGGTAGATTAGACAGTATAGAGTCCCATAAAAAGAGGCAGAGAAAGACCGAGAAAAACACCCAATGAGGTCATTAAACAAGACATTCTAGTTAATATATCTAAAGATTTGGTTGTTGATAAAGCACAATGGTATCATGCCGTCCATGTAGCCAACTGTATCTAGTAGGATAAGGCTTGTTGTTGTTGCTAACATAGCAATTATCATAATAATTTAAGCGTTCTTAGTGTGAAAACAAACATTGAAGACTCCCAAGTCAATTTCACAACAATGCAAGAAAAACCTGTTCCATCTGCTTCCGCCTAATATAGTATAAGTTCTCTTCAGTTACACAAGACTGATAAAAAGCTCGACAATGATTAATTAATAAGGGTTTTTAGCATGTTTGGTTACAGCTTTTAAGAAACCAAAAGTCCTTTTGGGAACTTTCAAAAGCCAAAAGGTGTTTGGGTAATTTTTTGGCTTCAGAAAGTGCATCTGGAATGTTTTTGAAAGTCCATTTTGCCAACAGTTAATATGGATTACTTTCCAAAAGTTACTTTTCGCTTCTGAACTGTAAAAGTTGGTCTGAGTTACCTTTCAAATGACTTTCAGTTTATCAAGCTAATTTTTCCAAAAATGTATCCAAACATAAATTTCATTACAATAATTATTTAAAAACCAAACTGACTTTTGATAAATGGACCTTTTGTAAACAGACTTTTGACAAACTGAAAACCAACACTTTTAAGTGGCATTGAGAACGCAGAAAACACTTCAGGAGAAAGGAAAGACCCAAACCAAAATATATTATTTAAAGACTCAATTATGGTGTGCATTGACCCCTCAACCTTTACTTATACTAATACCATGACCAACAAAGACAATTATGCTTTAGAGAGCATACTTTTCGTGAGCGACCATCTCAACTGATCTTTACTACATGTGCTGCACCCCAAGACACCCAACAACATGGCGACACAAAGCACCCTTACTAGTGCCTAGTCTTCAGTATAGAAATCCCAGAATCTCTATTGCTTAGGGTACACTACAAATGAGAGTGGAGCATTAAGGAGTCAATATCATAAAGGATCAATTGGCAACAACTCTGACACAGATATCACAACCACAAGAGGAAATTGGGTCAACTTCATATGATACCTTATTCAAATATTTGCAAGGAAAATTATTGTCAAGGGCCACCCTTCAGCTTCCTACTTCCTTAAGGAAAGGTTGAATACTGTATGTATATTCTTAAATGTCGAAGCGGCTTAAAACCTACTCTACGGATCAAGCACAACATCATGACCACATAGAAAATCCTAGTCATGGAAATGAACATCAATGCTGTTATAAAAAATAAACATCCATGTGAACATGCACATGTCACAAAAAATATATGATAGATTCTGCGATCTAAGCTCAGTTGTGAACCATGTGTAGAGAACAAGCCCACGCACGTCCTTATATACCTGTACAGTCCAGGGGCTTCTCATTTTATTGTTACTTTATTTATTTCTTTCTTTCTCTAGAAGGTAGTTTGTTAGAATATTTTTCCACCTAATCTGTTCCTGTTATTTCTGAGATTAGGACCTGTGTGTTATCAAGATTTAAGTATTACATTCGATAGGGTTTTCTGTTAGCTCAGATCATCCTAGATATTAGCCAAGCTTCTACTTTTAAAACAAAATCTTCAGGGAGCTTACAAGTCTGATTTTTCACGATATGCACAAATTAAACATTGTTGAACAGTTTGTTATAGAAATATTTGTTATTTCCTTTGTTAAAGCAATCACATTCATGCCTTCAAGCAAAATCAAACTAATGACGTACTCCTTCAACAACTTCACATATAGAATTGCAATTGGCCGAAAGATGATGACAACAACAGCAACATCAATTACAACAACAATAAAATTTTCAAAATAAGATTCATAATATGCTCAACCTGAACCAGACGCCACAAAGAAAATCACATATTGCAAACCTTAAATAAAATGTAAGGTAGCATTGAATATGGTGCTTCAGAGAATATGAAAACTAAGTGTATACTGAAAGATACCAAAAACACAACCTCATCAAAATTTAACTCTTCGGTAGGCTTCAGAGAATATGGTGCTTTCAGAATTGTGCCATCTGGCATTGAAAGGGAAATTCGCCAACTGCATTAGAAAACACCAAGCCAGAAAAGACAACTAACAAATGTGAGAAAACAAGAAAGGTCATCAGAGCAAAGCGAACCTGGAAAAAGACAAACATTTCAGACAATTCTAGTAATCTACAGAATTTTGTCAATGTTGACATAGAAAATGAAAGCTGCACTTTAAACTCATAAACCCCATGCTTTCAATGATACTATTAATGGATATGTAAAGCAGCAAGCCTCTGATGTGTGATTTATAATTAATATAAGTTATGGTAGTTAAATGAATGTGGTAGTTATAATAGGTAGCCGTTAGGAGTTGGGAACCCATATAAAAGGGAAATATATGCAACTAAAAGCTTATGCTTTCAAGTAATCCAGTGAATTATTCAGTTTTCTCGATCCCCCAGTCTCTCTCTCTCTCTCTGTGTCATCCTCCTCCTCTCTTTTCTCTTTCTCTCTACCACTATCCATCAGCGTCAATCATTCAATTTTAGTAATCCATGTCCAGCACCTAAACAAACTGTGTCAAAATGAATATGAATATGATGGAAACTACTCCGGAATTCTGTGTTACTCACTGAACAGAAAACAATCCACAGGGTATATACAACCAAGAGGTAACCCTGTAGCCTAGTGCATTCGAGAACACTACTCTCCTTACCACTCTCTAACAATTTCCATGCCTCTCTCCGTAACCAATACTCACATATATCATTTCCCCTCTCTAACCGTCCCCCAAGTAAATGCCACAATTACCCTCAACGAACGACTCATGCACCCACCCTCATAGATCGGGTTACATATGGGCTTTCTTTCTAACATAAGTATACCGAGGCCCATGCTTAACAGAATATCAAGTAACTATTAATAAAAACTATCTATAATGATAGTAGTTACTACTATTAATATGATCAAATCTTGTCAGCTATTTGTTGAATTTTTTTTTTTTGCCACAGCGGAAAGATAATTGATAAAAGCTGCAATATCACACTGCAAAGCGCAAGCTTAAGATAAGCTTACCTATCCAAACGATGAATTGCACCAGTACTGGCCCTGTAAAGAGATCTCTTAATAGCTGACTTCCAAGCATAAGGAAACGACCCACCCTAACAGGATGCCAAAAGCACAGATTAAAAAAGTAGACAGCAGTAGTCCAGCCCAAAGTTTCCTCATCTATGGATGCTTACCCAACCAAAACTTCTAGATAGATCATTGCCCGTACCAAGTGGTACAATCCCAACAGGAGGAACTGGCAGTCGGCCTTCTCTATGAAGTTCTGTGAGACATCCTAACACCCAACCGACTGTACCATCACCTCCTGCAACCTGTCCAAACATTCAGCATAATCCAATGGCAATTATATCTTAGTAGGATATGGATTTAACTATGACAGAAGGAGAGGAATATTTTTTTTAAAAACTGTAAATTGGGCATAGAAAGCAAATTCATGATTGGAGTAGATTCTTCAACATACCATAACTCTTATTCTTTCACGACATTCTTTGGCACAAGAATCACCAAGACCAGCCAACATCTCCAAGCAACCTAACCCATACTTAACAAATTCATGAGGCTTCACATCTGATAGGTCAAAAACCTACGGTACAAAACATAATTACAAATTCATGAGGCTTCACATCTAACAGATCAAAAGCCTACAGCACAAAACATAATTAATCATGACTTGAAGCATAAAAAGAATAAAGAACAAAGCAAGAAAAAGCAATTCCAGCATTCATTTTGCCTCGTCTCAAACTAAATTTGAATTATTTGGCCAAAAAAAAAAGAAGAGAAACTAAACTTGAATTATGTTAATGTAACACAAATCTCATGTATAAGTATGTTCTAGAGCCAAGATAAACGAATCATCGTCATACTGACAACAAATGGGGGAAAGGAAGACAGATCAGATTAATGTTGAAGGTGTCTGTAACTAAGAATGGCTAATTCTAATTTTCAGTAGTTGAATTCTTCAATATTTCCTTTCTGATAATAAAGTTTGATGAAGGCATACTACCACCAGAAGACTTTTTGTAAGGCGTCCTGGGTTTGTTTAGTAAGAATGAAAATTGGAAGGCCTAAGTCGGGAGATGAAAACAGGGGGGATGCAGAAACTTAAATATATTTAGTTTCTTGTCAGAATCAGTTCAGAGGCCTCCTGAGTAGATCTTCAATTTCTCAGTTGTGGCGATAGCCTGTTTTATTTCTTTCCTTTCATGTTGCTCTCCAGTTTTAAGCCAAAATGAATATGACACCGGCGTTGGAAACCTTTGGTCTTTTTGCGCTGATTTAGTCTGCCCAACAAAAGAGTACTCCAATGCCTTGAGCAAAACAACCTCAAATTAGACTCCTTAAGAGCAGAGCTAATCGAAGAAATACATTTCATGCTACCACCGGGAGCAGTCTCACTCTCCTTGCTCATCACTCCAACTCCAAGTTCGTCATCTCATTGCCAAACAGCAAATGCATGCACTCAGACAATATCAACTCAAGCACATAACAAAAATTCTGAACCAGCCTTGATAACGCAGTTTAAAAAGCCATAAAAAGATTGAATTTCGAAAAGCAAATAAAAACTGTCTATACGTATCACCTGTTCTTCACCCATCAAATACTGAAGCCTCTCCTTAAGCACAGGGCCAAGGCGGCCACCACTTTTGCGATTAATAAAGATCACCATAGGCATCTCCGGCGGCTTGACATTTCCGTCGCCGTCGCTCCTGCTGCTTATGAAGCGGCTCTCTCCGGCAGTGGGATCCTGCAAGCGGATACAATCACGCATTGCCATCCGGAGGTACTGAGGCATCATGAGTTTCTGCTTCAACTCCTCCTTGTCAATCCGGAGCCCCGATAGCCCACATGCTCCTAACGACTCGATCACCGACGACCTCACCATAACCTTGTGGGAATCTCTCGCCGTAGACGGCCCTTCCATCTTCGTCCCCGGCGAGAAAGAGAAAGAAAACTGAGACCTGGCTGATTGGTTGCCAGACTTCAATTTGAAACTGCAAGCTGTCCTCGCTGGATATATTATTCAAATCAAATTCTAAAAATTCATTAACTTCTTTAAATATAATAATATTTTTTAATATGCAGGTTCGTGGCCACAATTTTCTCTCTATAGATACACAGGGTGGTAAACCGCAGTACTTATGGAGAGAAAAAGTGCGAAGAAGGCGTGCGGGTAAGGTAGGGTAATTTGATTGGTCGATCAGGAGGATATTCTTGCACAGGCACAGGGGAAGTAGATCGTTCCCATTTGCCGGTTTCAGATTTGAATCTTGTCGAGAAAGAACATTTCTTCGCAATCTGGGGACTTGACCCCCCTCCATCACGCCCTTAATTACAAAAAAGGCAGGTCAAACGGTAGATTGCACGTTCAATTCAGCAGAAACTTCCTCTTTCTCTCTTTCACCTTTGAGCTGGAATTAATACAGCCAACCTTTACGACATTGGAGTCAATTTAACAGCGAATTGCGAAGTTTCGTCGTTAAATCTTCCGTATGAACGTTAAAAATTCAGTACGGAATTGGTCATATTTTATTCCTTTCCTTAAATGTGTTTTAAATTTATAAAAGTCACACATTTTACAATGTGATTGGAAAAAAAATCATTAATTACCTTATTTCTTATATTTTTGGGCAAAAATTTTTTTCTACAAAACTTCTTATATTATGAATAGAATGGAAGGAAGTAGAATTTGAGTAGGCAACGCAAAAAAAAAAAAAAAAAAGAAGTAGAATTAGAATTACCCATAGGGAAATTGATAATGTACTCCACTTATACTGGTAATAGTTGCTTAATTTTCATCCAAAAAAAAATAGTTGCTTAATTAATTTATATATATTATAAAATTAAATAAATTTTTTATTATAATAAATGTAACATGATTTTTCTAAAATATATAGAAGTATATGACATAAGATTATATATCAAGTATGGTATGAAAACCCAACCCCAATCTCCTGTCTACCCATTAAACCAGTAAATAGTTCTTTGACCTTGTTAAGAGTTTTAGATGAGTTAACTCAGTTTAATCTTTTTTTTTTTTATTGAGCCTGAAATCACATCATTTTGAATTTAAAGATCAAGAACAATCCATTAAATTTGTCAACAGTAAATTGTTATGGTAACAGTGTCACTTGCCATGCGTAGATGTATGATTTTATGCATAGATATTCTATTTACTTGTGAATTTATAAGTTTTATTTAAATATTGCTATTTTTAAGATTATATGTGAATATTTTTGTATTCATAGTCTCTCTCTCTCTGGGTTTTTTTTTTGGAGCATGGCATTCTTATATTCCGAATAAAAAATATTTGAGTATGGTTTTAATTTATTTTTATGATAACCTTAAATCAATAGATCTTTGAGTGATTGATTTAGTTTGAAACATATTTGAGAATTGAACCATAAGAAACGATTTGGATTAAACGACACATCTTCATGCTACGAGTGCCCCACTCTCAGGAAACGACAATTTGAAGCCGATGGGACAATTCACTAAAGTGGGAAGTTATCGGATGCACATTTCGTCAACTAATCAATTTAAGCATCTCAATGGAATTGAGCGTCACAAAAGCTACTGCCTACTTACCCCCAAGTTATATTAATTTAATTAGCTACCTACTCTCATAGGTCCACTTTTCAGGTGTCATTATGGTGGAAAGTGGAAACTTGAAATTTGGATTGCAAGAAATAATTGATTAGCTAGCAATCAGCTTAAGGTAAGTGGATGACACTCGATGGCAAAAAAGAAAGAGCATGACACTGATTTGTGAAGGGGAAACTCAGCCAGCCTCCTCTTTTCTTTGCCATTAATTTTTTTTCATTAGAAATCAAGAGTATTCCCTTCATTCCTTTTGAGATAAATTTTGGAAAATTTCTTTTAAAAAAAACCCAACTTAAATTATTATTTGAGTCATTAAGCTTATTAAATTCCTAATTAAATCATATAACCTAAAAAGACATTTTAAAATTTTATAAAACGAATATAGTGTTACTTCCATTAGAAAATAAAAGAGAATTCTAAATTAACACGTTTTAATTTTAAATTAACAACTTCTTGTTTCCATAATATATTTACAGTAAGTTTTTTAATAAAAATTAATCACAATAAAATTTTAAAAATTACTAATTTTTCTCCATAACACACTTGCAGGATTAGGGAAAGAAGATTTAATATAAAACTAACTCACCGCTGCCTTTTTTTATGGATTTTCCAACTTTGCAATGATAAATGTCAAATTCCCTTTCTTAAGAGTTTTTATACAACATGCAAATCATAGAAAATTCTCATCTCTCTATATTTCTAACAAAAAGAGTATTAGAGTCACTTCATAAAATTTTAAATTGTTTTTTTGGATCATGTGACTTGATTAAAACTTTGACAAATTCAATAATTCAAGTAAAGATTTGAATTATTTAGATGTCTTTTTCTCGTAAAATTATCCAACTTACATAGGATAATAAAACATTTTTATTAGTTTATGTCCCAAAAAGGCTTTTATTTATCCATTTCCATCTTCAATCAATGTTCAACATTTTTATAAGAGCCGAAAGGTATTTTCGCTGAGGGGGAAAATATTTTCACTCATAAACTATTTTACAGGAACCATATCATAAATTATCTACTATTAAAAGAAGTCATTAATGTTAAAATCGTTGTAATGTTGCCTGCAGGCTAATAGACGTTAATATCGATTGTTAATTTCATATTTACTTTGAGTTAAAAACCATTTCTCTTGTGAAGTATTCATAGATGAGTAATTGACATTAGCAAATTCAATAATATGAAGCAATTGACTTCCTTTAAAAAAAAAAAAAACATGCCGCATCATGTTTAGGGTATCATTCCACCAGCCGTAATTCACAAATAGAAATTATATATTATAACGAGATTATAGGCTTACACCCTCATATATTCTTTCAAAATACAAAGTATGCCATATTAGTTATACTTCATAAATTGCAAAGTGCATGATAATTTTTTAGTGGATGAATATTTCTGATCAATTTCATGTTTTATATTGATATTGGTATTAACACGTTACAGTCGAAGATATTCAGTTATTCACTTTATTTTTAGAAAAAAATTGGATTTCATAAATATATTTTCCTTGATAAATTCTAATCAAATTCTAGGTGCCCCGGAAGAGGAAGCTGGCAGTGGCACCGCCATTTATATGGCCTTCTTTTTGCCAACGCTTTTTTCGGCCATCCGAACGAGCATTTAAGTTTATTTATTGATTTGTCGTTAGAATTCATTCCAATCCTCATAAAAGAAATATCTTCAATACGGGAATGATTTTTCTTGGTAAAATAAAGAAATTATTACCTACGGTCCTTGATATAAAACTTTATTTGATTTTTATTTTAGTTATAAATATAAAATTTTAGTCTATTTTGTCTCTCATATTTATATTTTTTTCAAGACAGTCCTTCTAACAATAGTAGTTCTATCCAACACATTTAATTAGTAAGTATATTTTAGAAAAAAAACAACATATATTTATTATAAATAACTAACATATTTTATTTTTTTAATCTCCCCAAATTAATTAACTAGCTTTTATAATTAGAACCGGAGGTAGTATATGCACTTTTGGATGAAATCATAATTACGATTATGAAAAGATCAAATTACGAAGTTACTACAGGGAAACATACTCCCTATAATTCACAATACAAGTCACTTCTAGAAGGCTGATTTTATTCAAAATATAAGTTGCTTGAAGAATAATTAACACTTATTTGTCAATTTTATCCATTCAATTAATGCTTATTTATAACTCTATATTTTTCTCTCTCCTTTATAACCTAATTTAATGTGGACGAAGATGAAAAAAATCTTTCAATTCGAAACCCATTTAATAAATTAACTACTCCTCCGGTCCTAATTATAAGACCCAATTGACTTATTTGAGGAGATTAAGGAAGTAAGTTAAGTTAGTTATTTATAATAAATAAGTGTTGTTATTCCTAAAATATCCTTGCTAATTAAGTATATTGGCTAAAACTATCATTATTAGAAGCATTATCTTGAAAAAAAATGTATAAATATAAGAGAGAAAATGGATTGGGTCTTATAATTAGGACCAAATAAAAAGTCAAATTGGGTCTTATAATAAGGATCGGAGGAGTATCATTTTTAGATATTTATGAATTGGTTAAATGACTTGTATTATAGTATGCATCATGGTCCCCACACTTGAAACAGGACAATGAAGTGGAATGAGATATTGAAATTGTTGGTGGAAAAAAAAAACAGAGAGATATTGAAATTCAGCCACAGAAATAGAAGTACATTCAGATATTAAAAGAAGAGAGAATTACAATGATATTCTAGAGAAGAAGAAAAAATTACACAATAAATCTTAGAAGTTGTGATTCTTGACTATTATTCAGGTTGTTATTAAAAAATTTTAATAATTATTTTTTTAAGACTTAATTATAATTTTTTCTTAAAAGAAGTCAAAACCCTTTATCGGTAACCCCTACAGTATGGGTTGCTGGTGGGACATCTCGTGGAAAAGTGGAAAGGACGGAATTTGATTCGCCACCGCTAGAGATGCTAAGAACTAAGATCATTATTGAGCCACTAATTTTTCCAGACACTTAAAGAAAAATATTTTAATAAGTTTTAGAACTTTGTAATGAAATTTATAATTAGGGAAACCGTACAATCTTAAACGCTACTCATATTTATAATCAAGGAAAGGGAAAGTATTTGGTTATTTTTATGCAAACGCATATTGGGAAAACGATGCAGACTGTAATTTTTTTAACCAAAAACAAAATGAAATGTATATTAAAATGAAACGAGTTTAAACCAACAAAAAGAAGACTAAAATTTACAAAACAATTTTTAAAAATAATTTTAACAGTAACAGAGGAAATATCATAGCAGACGACAAAAATGAGTCGAGCATGCGTGGCTGGCCATAAACCGAAGCGGTTGGGCGTTAAACTCAGGAAACAACATGTCGCTTCACAATGGAAATGACAAAGGAGAAAATAAAACGGCGAGACCAAGGACGTGAATCCTTTCTGGTCTTTTTTTTTTTAATATAAGACTCATTTTATGATATAAATTATATAATAAAATTTATCTTATATTTAAAATGAAAGGAGTACTGAATTTTTTATGCTGAAAATTATATATATATTTAAAGTGCATTTAAAACATTGAATTTCAATATCACCTCTAATATTAATTATTAAATATAAGATTTAGTTTACCGTTTACATTGCAAATTAAATTTTATACTACTTCATGTCATTAATATAAAAGTTAGTTGACTAATTTGAGTAGATTAAGAAAGTTTGTTAAGTTAATTATTTGT